ATTAACACAACTACTTTTGTGTCTTAAGTGAAAAAAGTTTCTAATCTTATTCTAAATTAATTTATGTAAAAAAATTTAGTTTGAAAAAATTGTCATTTTCGTTCTTTTTTTCCAGCACCTAGCCTATATATACTATATATAATATATATATACAGTAAAATACCAATAATATACTTATAATATTTAATAATAAATAAATAAAAATAAGGGGAAATCTAGACAATGCACCCGTGCACTTTGTGCCCCTTAGCAAACTTTATGTCTGCTATTAGAATTTAGGGTTAGGTTAGGGTTAGGATTTAGGTTCAGGGTAGTGTAAAATTGCGAGAGGAACATTTTTGCTTAGTTATACAACAGGGTTACCCTAGTAAAATTTTGAGATATTGGCGATTTTATATTAGGGGCACAAAGTGCATGGGGCACTGACTAGTCCAGTCCTAAAAATAATTATATGATAGTATTAAAAAAAGGAAAATCTAGACAGTGCACCCGCGCCCCTAGCAAAATTAAGCCTGCAATAAGAATTAGGGTTAGGTTAGGTTAGGGTTAGGTTAGAGTTAGGTTAGGGTTTAGGGTAGTGTAAAATTGCGAGGAACATTTTTGTTTAGTTACACAACGGGTTTCTTTAGTAAAATTTTTAGATATTAGCGATTTTATAATAGGGGGTACAAAGTGCATGGGGGTACTGACTAGTCCGGTCCTTAAAAAAAAATAACAACTATATATCGATATATTTTAATTAAAGCATGTTGCATTGTATTTTTGGGAATATAATTTTTAAGTATATAGTACGTTTAACATTAATTATGTCGATGCATATTAGTCATTATTTTAGAAAAAAAATTGAATGAAAACTTCAACATAAACATATTTGATATTTTTTTTATTTTTTTTAAAGAAAAACTAGATCTAACAAAGTAATGAACCTTTATTTATTAATAAATTTATATACTTGGTTAAAACTATATTATATTTTAAAATCACATGATATTTATATAAATTGACCCAATGTAAAATAGAATAATTCCAACTGAATTGAAAAAACTGGTAGAAATCGTAGACGCCGAACTTGCTTTTGCGGCACTATATCAAATATATATTAGCGTTAATATTTATATAAATTAAATATCCGATATTGTACGCAAATAATGATAATGTTTAAAAATTTTTATACAAACGTGGTAGTTGAACCTGTAGGCTTTGCAGGACGTGAACCTGATGCTGGTGAATTATTAGGCGGATTAGGAGCACTGCTACTTGGAGGTTTAGCCGGAGCGGCTGCGGGAGCATTGCCTGCAGAAGTCCCATCAGTCGGACTTGAAGGAGCACCAGACAATGGGACTCCGCTAATCACGTTAAAGTTACCGGAAAATCTTTCACCACTACCATCATTAATAACGAATAAATACTGTCCTGGCTGAACATTGACTTTCCATTGTTTACTTAATTTTGAGAGATCTAATGCTTCTTCTATCGTGGTATCTTCGTTTGTCGCTTTATTACGTATTTTTAAAGAGCCTAATATCGTCGGTGCAACGCCATTAACTGCCCATGTAATTGTAGCTAAAGCACCCGTAGAAAGTGTTCCAGTTGGTGTATTAACAGTAATCTCTATAGTTTAGAATGATATTTGTAATTAATATTCAAAATAAGATGTTTTGAGAGTAAGGAAATAAACGTAAACGTATGGAAAGAAAAAGTTCAAATGATATATATATTCCATGAGTAATTGTTTTGATGTCATTAATGTATGATATGATATTTGATTTTTCTAGAATTTTTCTTAATTATCTAACGTACTTAAAAAGATTAGAATATATACAAACCACTAACAACTAAAACAACCAAAACAGCAATAATGACAAACGTGATGGTGAAGAAATGGCTCATCTTTTTTTTTTATTCTTTCTTTCTTTTAGTATTTGTCGTCTTTTTTATATATAAATTTTTATTATGTTTCTTATATAAAATTTAATACTGTGTGTAAATAGAAGTGTGAATAACAGATAATGTTTACTAATTGTTATAATGAAGATGGCAATATTTAAAGGAAAAAATTTAATTGTAAAGGACGAACGTATTTAACACTTTTTCAAGATAGAAAAGAAGGACGAACTAGGAGATTACTTAAATCGCAAAATGTTTTAAGGTGAAAAAGTTGACTGAGGTTGTAAAACGATTCGCGCCTACACCATTATGCAGGAAAAGGGATTGTAAGAATTAAGTTCACCTTTGATCCAAAAAAAGATAAATAATTTTTAAAAAATTTAGAAAATAATGAGAATATCGGATCGATCGATATTAGCATCTTGTTTTAAAATCGAATAGTTTATTAATTCGGTAATAGGAAAAACTTAGGCGGTTTCAAATTCACACTATTTATCGATATATATATATACTGACTTTATTTACATCATAGGAGAAACAAAATTTCTATTCATCGATAAAGATCAGAATTCGGTAAATCACTTTGCTTCTCGATATATATTTGACCTAAGGAATTTCAATTAATTACTTTTCTAAATGCACCCCTTTTGAAAATCTCTCCTTTCGATTCGATCCTTAAATTGTAATTCATGTGATTTTTTTATCATATGATATTAAAATAGACAAAAGGTCTTCAAAATGTTTAACGTTAAAGCTTCATTTAAGAATTAAGACTAGAATTTTTGATGGTGGAAATGCTCATCAAAGAAAATTTTTCGTTAAAACACGAAAGCATTTTCTTATGCAATTTTGAAATAATGCCAAACGAGCGATCATTTTAAAATTTGTTATTCATAATAAACTGTTCTAAAATTTATTATATAATATCTTATATGGGCGTTTGAATAAAACTTATTTTTGATTTATGTAATAACTTGATAATTTTCATGTTTGTGATTTTTTTAAACATTTTAAAATTATAGCAATAATATGATGACATATATAACATTACGGAATTTATTATTGATTTTCTAAGAATAAACCCTAGAAAAAATTCCTTACTCTTCGATCTATAATAAACAATACGTCTAACCCATTTTCCTATAGGTATAACCCATTTTTCCCATTATCGCAACCCATTTTAAATTTCTGCACAATTCATATAAACCATTTTACATCTATCGTTGCATATGTGTACGAACGTACCATCGTCAGTTAAGTTGACAGTATTTTATAGATAAACCAAAATTTAAAAATCATCTATATATTATATCATAGTTAGGATCAAAATAATATTACATATATCTGAAGTCAATTAAATGACTCACAATTTTCAATATTTTACAAACGTACCGTAATTATAAGTTTTTACACAAAATAATCTACAAAGTTTCGGAACCCTCCCGGTTGTGATTGGACACATGAAATCCCGTCTTTAATTTGATAATCTTCCCCACCTGCAAAATCAAAAACACCATTTTTCTTCAATAAAAAAAAAATCAAAAATATTTTTGGGCTGGAGCGGAGGGAAACGGAGTGTAAGTCCTTTCTATGCTCTACTAATTTGGGTCGATGTCCGGCTCCCACC